GAAGTGTCATTACATCTCCGCTTTGTTCCCCCTCTTAGCTCGCTCTTACCTAACTAATTAAGACAAAAAAAGGTCTCTCCAGATGTCTGTGGTGAGAGTGTCAGGAAATGTGACTGGCTGAAAACATAAGATCGGAGTGTAGAACAAAAGAGTGCACTGACAGGTTTGACAAGGAGGGGAACACCTTGCCAGAGCAGAGATTCAAATTGCTTTAACTGAAAGATAAAGATCTATTTTCAGACAATGGTTAGTATACCATCAGTACAAATGTGCCATGATGCACGCACAAGCAAATCTACACTGTTGTGTGTAAAACCGTCCTTTAATCCTTGGCTCTTTCAGCAAGTTGGCTTTGGGTAACCTGAGTGCTCTCTTCCCCTTTTCAACATGATCAGTATAAACAATGACAAACTTCCCTTCTCCTCAGGGTGACTAACTTATCGCTCTTATCACATGTTTTTTCTGCTGAAAGAATTTGTGACTGTATTTCTGAATAGATACTGACAGAATCTTATTAGATATGGCATTGCTGTCATCCTGAAAACAAATGGACATGAAGTCGCAACTCGACAGCTTGTTTGCACAATTTAAAAAAAAGGTTGTTCTTTTGTCAGTGATCAAAACATGATATTAGTCACTGTGTCTCTTAACCCGGGCATCAATGAAACTGGGACAACCCTAAATATGAACCGACTTTACCTTAGTGAGCAAACATACTACATCATATATTATGCATGATGACTAACACATTTAGCATTTCCTATCATTTGTGCACCAATCACATCCGTCTTCCCTGCGCGCATGTGTAATTTCCCTGACTGGATCCTCAATAACATCCTGTTGTCTGAGGACATCTGAGGGGCCTATTTGGACTGACCCTCCACCACATCACACACAGGACAGGACAGAGCAGAGACTATTATCCTGGCCCCTGGCTAATGACAGCCGAATGAGAAAAGCAGGCAGGAAGCTCTCCTATGTGATCTCTGTATTTAAAAGCGCCGTTATTATTGCTTGTGTATTGTTCTGTCGCATTGGGATCCCTTTGGACGACTATCATTAAGTTGAAGGACCGTGACTTGACTGTGACAGTAGATTTTAGCTCAGGTTTGGTGAGCTACAAAAGGACCATGGACATCCCTTAATGCTGATGATGTTTGTGACTGAAAAAAAAAGCAATTTAACCCACTGCACATTACAGGCTAGTGTCCACATCATACGCAACCCAGTCTCCCTGTTACTATGAACAAACCGATAGCAGAATATTCCTGTCCACAGGTTCCATCAACAAAAAGGCATTAAACAGTGTGGCAAATTTTCTTTGCTAGTCTAACAAAGAGACATTATACTAATCCATTATCCACGATGGACAAGCAGTGAATGTTATACAGCCAATACAGAGTACACAGATTTGGCAGTAGTATACAATATGGAAACACAGAATGACATTTTTATGTAAATAACTTAATATTAAGTAAATATTAAGTGTCATAAGTTTTTTTTTGTGCATTCCTTGGTTGCCTTTTATATTTGGAGTAGACGCTTAAAGGCTTAATAAAGAGATGGGCTGCACAATTAATTTAAATATTATTGAAATCGCAATAGAAGCTGCAGTTTTTTTGATGAAGGTAAAAAAAAAAGTGACAAAACAGCATTATAATGAAGTACTGTAGTGCTGCAGAGATGCCCCGGCCTACAAATCTTATCCTCCAAATGTCAGAAAACATTTTTGTTTGGTATAGACCCTAAAAAATGTCACATCATCGAAAAATGTATTTAATTTATTTAATTTATAGTGACAATCAAGTCAAAAATGATCATTCCACCTTGAATCATATCTCAATCGTAATGTCCTCCAAAATAATCGCAATATGAATTTTATTACCATATCGAGCAGCTGTAATAAAGAATGAAGAAGCAATAATCAAAAGGGTGCTACATGCCACCAATGATTTATTGTTGGCCTCAGGAAGGACCCTGTGTGAGTCTGAACAGTGAAATCAGAAGTGAAGGTATTAAGAAGCCTGCGTGTTGCTAAAGGCCTGATTGATATCAGAATAAATGGGAAACTTACTTCCTTCAAACATCATCTCACAAGGTATGCAAACATGCATCGGCAAACAAGAAAGGATATCTCTGTGAATGGAAGAGAAACCACTGATTCACCAATAGGGTATGTTGGTTTATCTTGGTATGTTAAACTGGTTTATCTATTCTCATGATGTTAGATTTTAAGGTCACTCCATTGTTTGGCATGATCAATAGCTTCCTGTCGGCTTCATCAGACTTCAACAAAACGCGCTCCTCTCAGGAGCCACTTGGAGTGAAGCCATAGAGATTTATGAATTAATTAACCTTGTAGTAACCCTGTGCAGTGAAACACAACAGGTGGTCATCCTGCTTTGTGTGCTGAAATAGAGACAGGTGCTTCCGACTAAGGGGGACAGATCACTGTTGACACGGGACAATGGAGGAAAACAGGGGCACAAGAAGGTCTAATTCATGCATGGCCACTTCCAACCCAGCCCAAGTCAATGTCAAACACACAAATGCAGAAAGCCACTGACTCTATACGCATAAAAAGTCCATATTTCAATGCAAATACAAACATGCTCATTCAAACTGTCAGTGTTTTTCTCTCCCGGGTTTGTCAGGGAAACATAGGCGCCGGAGGACAATAGTTCTGTGATCATATCTGAGCCTGACACAAGCAAACAGGAAGCAATCCCCTTTATAGAGGGGTAGTCCTGAGAAGAATGGAGTTTGGGGTGGGGGTGGGGGACCATCTTGCGACTCAGAGCATCCACCTACGAACATTTCTGATACCAAAAGTCCGTCAGAAGAGACCAATATCTTTCTTCCTTAGGAGCAAAGGAAGAATGTAACATCCTAAAAACTACATTTTCTTCACAGAGAACAACAGGACACAGGTGAAACGTTGCTTGTTTTTCCTTCCACCGTCACTCAGCTCCTGACTTAATCCACAGAGGATGCTACTAGAACCCTCTTGTCTTCCTGTAAAATCTGCGACGTGACAGCTCTGACACGCTTCAAGCCAAATCAAAAAAACACTTAAAAGTCTGCTGGTAGACACCTGACTGTTTGATCAGCAGTGGTATTTGAACAATGTGTTTCCTCTTAGACTAAAACACTATTGTGTAGCAGGACTTTTACATACAAATAAACGTCCATTACATTCAAGCCCCAGCCAATAAGTTCCCCGATGCTGATTAAGCCTACCACCTCCAGGTAGATCTCTCTGTATTCGCAGCATACTTGGGTATATATATATATATAAATCTGGGGTCTGCTCTTGCTAACTGGTAGTGATTTGTTTAATGCCAACCAGCAATTATTGGTATGCCAGAGGTGAAAGGGGGACCAACCGTAGTGACCGAGTAGACAACAGCAACTAGGAGTATGGTGGAATTGTTTTTTTATTCCCCACCAGATTTTCGACCACTCTCATTTGACGGACACCAGCTTTGTGTCAAATCCTGCCTCCTACACTGCCTCTGATTGTCTATTCTAATCCTACCCTTAACTCCACCCTAACACTAACCCTAAACAGCGAAGGCAACGGGTACTGGCAAATCAGAGGCAAAGTTGTGGAAAACCTGGTGGAAACAAAAATTACCCTGGCGGCAGATTTCCATATATTGAGAAACTTTAAATGGATCATTCACTTTAGTGGATCCACTCATTTCCTTGAGTTACGTGCTGCCTTAGTGTGCCTTATCTATATACTATCAGTGATTGTGTAAGAAAGAGTGCCTGTGATAATGATGGTCAAATCAGGATTGATTGATTAAGTAAGGAGAGGAAGGAAGGGAGGGGAGGATGATGAGCAGACAACAAAGAAGAGAGAAGGGCTGACCCCTGTCCTCTTCTGTCACATAGATAAGAGTGGTGATGGAGATTCCCAGTGGACTCAGATAACCTCTAACTAAAGGTGCAACGTCACTGTTTTCTCTGCATGACTAGATGTTTCTGAAAAAAATAAGTCAATAGTTATGCCCTTCAAACTTTTGCTTTCTTTTCTGGACTTGTTATAGCTTTATCCACATTTCTTTAAACAAAAACACTGCGCGCTTTTAAACTATTGAGTGTCCATGGTTTAGTTTCACAACATCAACATTGAGGAGGGATGCAACTGAGCTATGGACTATGTCTTCAAGTTAATTGTCTGATCTGAAAGTAGATTGAATAAAAACACCCGTAACGAACAAAAACAAAAGTGTCATTCTGAGGTTAAGTTACTTATATCAACTTTGTTTTAAATCACAATAATTCAGAATTAAATAGGTACTGTGCCAGAAATATTGGCTACTAATAAAACACAAATATATCCAGAATATCTCCATTTCAGGTAATCTGTCAGCTGTTTGGGTTGGTGTTGGTTCACCTTCGATCGTGCATACAATGCAAAGACTGAACTTCTGAACCTTGTGTTCAAATGTAAACACACACACAAGCTCTTCACCGGTAACTTTAAAATTTGGTACAGCAGTTTCCCAGAAAGACGTCATAAGGTATCCTGCCGCACGCATCAGCATGTAAACTGCAGCAACGCTTATAAAACCATGTGTTAATTAGTCACAGACTCTTTCATTTAGTTATCAATTTATTTGTAGGCAAATGAAATGTGTGGCAAAAACCAAATGCGTTACAAGCCTGTACATATATAAACAGGATTGCTAAATGAGTTTGTTTTCATTGTTCTGCTTATTTGCTTCATTGCACATCAATGACAACACCTCTTATTCACATTAAAACTGTGAATTATGTCCATTAAACTCATCTTGACAGTGATGCTTAGACTTGTTAAATTAAATGGGCACTTGAGTTTTAACCTCATCTCTACAAAGTTTATAAGCTGAGCCAGAGCACACTGTCATTATTCAGCCAGTCTTCTGTGAGTTCTGTTCTCGTTTGTTGTCAATAGAGGGCGCAACAAGATTCAGGCTGCTCACACAGCGACCAGCGGTTTTCTCTTCAAAGTGCTTGTTGACTGTGTGTGAGCAGGGCATCTAAAAGTGTCAGCGCCTTAAGTTGATGTTTTGCAGGGTCCAGAGAGTAATTTCAGAACCTTTATTTCAGTCTCTGAGGCAGCTTTTTTTGTTACGCAGTTCCCGAAAACTGACCTCCAATATGGCTTTTCAGTATCCACAGGCTTACCGTGACGATGCAGTTGTAAGTAAATGTGGCTGGCTAACTAGCCTAGCGTGCTAATAAGCCGGGATGCTTAATCATCACGCTTTTTCATTCATTGAAATAGGCGTGTGCTTTGTTAGCATGCTAGTTAGCATAGCCTGGTCAGGCAGCGCAGACTTTGTTGACAGATGCATGAACAGCCGCCCCAGTGAACTGAAACTTACTACCGGTACAGTCCCCATAGTAACCTTATTAGCTAACATTCCCGTTGCTGTCTGGTTAACCTAACCTGGGCGTGACTTAGTAGCACAAGCCTGTCTTGTTTTTGCCACACCTATAGCTAGCTTAATGGTACTTCACATTTTGACAGTTGTCATTACTGTCTCACCTGTCTCAGGTGGACGATTATCATGGCCAGAAAATACCAGATCCATACAGCTGGCTGGAGGACCCGGACAGTGAAAAGACACAGGTGAAGTCATAATATTTATTTTGTTATTTATTATATGTTTATTGCCATATTTAGCTAGAATCTCAGTTAACATTGTTACAGACTGAGGACAGGCATGATTTGTCTCCAGTTTTAAAATTGTGAAGTGGCACAAGTCCCTCTCGTCGTTCTGCTTAACGTTGCACCAATATTAGTGCTTACAAAGGGTTAAGTAAAGTGCATTAGGATGTGGCACTCATAACCATCACCAGCCTAATGTTTTGTTGATATCACCAGGGGCCTGTCCCAAGAAGCCTGTTTACTGAGTGATCTAGATAACTTTGCTGAGTAAAACCTTGAACCCCGATTAGTCTGGAACATAATGTAAAAACACTTGTTCAGGTTTTACTCAGCAAAGCAGATTCAGATAAATCCGTACGCCTGCTTCCTAGAACTGACCGTTGCTTTCATGAGTAAATAATTTGTGCTGGTATTAGAGATGAACCGGATAAAATCTTCATCCTCACGGTTATTGTCACCTGACAATGTTTAAAAACTACTGACACACACACACACAGAAATTATTTCACTAAGTTTTATATTTAAAATCACAAATAAAATTCGCTGCACTATGCACTTTTGTTTGCATAAACAATAATAATGCTTTATTTGTATAGCACTTTTAAATACAGGTAACAAAGTGCTTTACAACAATCAATATAAAACACACAAACAGATCAAAGTAAAATAAAAAAAATCTGACAATAAAAGCTTTTTTTTAAATATAAAAATGAAGTGAGATAAAACACGGAACTGAATCGGCAAGCCTGATAAAATCAATCCTAAAATAAACAGGCAGCTGGTACAAGGATGGTAAAACTGGGGTGACATGGTCACATTTTTTTAAGTCGATTAAAATAAACATATCAAACGTGCATTACACTCAAAATATGATTATTGGGTGACTAAGCTATAATCTGCAGACACACAATGCATACAGCAGCTGAACAATATGTGGTGTTTTTACAAGAGTAGGCAAAACTGAAAGCTTCGGTTTCCAGCTATTAGCAAGATAGACAGACAAACCATGACTTGTTCCCCGATTTTGAAGTCACCACATCATTCATTGAGCTAAAAGTTAACTCACCTAGCATTTAATATAAAGTAGTGGGTGGTGGTCACGAGGATGACTCATAAGTGTTGCCCCTGTTTCGCAGCATCAGGTTTCCCTTAGTACTCGTAGACAACCAAGTCTGAAATGTGGTCTTATTTTGACCACATTTCAGATGTCTGGGGACTAGGCTGAAAAATCTTGTCACTGCCTTCTGCCTTGTTTTCGTTGAGCGTCCTAAAATAAACCCATGCTGCACCTGCGTCCAGGAGACTGTTGCTAACATTGGTTGATGCGGCAGTACAGTATTTTCTTTGAGTTCTTCAAAGCACGGTAATCGAACACGGTTGTTGTGATAATTAAAATGAAGCTGTAATACTATCTGCCTGGAATTTTATCGTGATTTTTTTTATCGTGATTTAAACCCTGGTTGGTATTGTGTCTTTTTCCACCAGGCCTTTGTCACCGCTCAGAACCAGCTGACGTTGCCGTTTTTAGAGCGCTGTGAGGTGCGAGACCTGTTCAAGGAGCGCATGACTGAGCTGTATGACTACCCCAAGTATAGCTGTCCCTTCAAGAGGGGGAGCAGGTGAGACGAGCCACAAGAGAATCACGTTTTAGCACATTGGTGACAAACCTGTATCAGGCTTAATTATGAAAAGACATAGAAAAGCAATAATGGGAATTCTTTTTTGCTTTGATAGACCTAGTGGGTGTACTGTCCACCTGGGTTCATATTCTAGATTTAATTTCATGGATTACATATACGTGAAGACCCTTTTTGCCTTAGTGGTTTCTCCCCTCACCTTCAGGTACTTTCACTTCTACAACACGGGCCTCCAAAACCAGAGTGTGATGTATGTGCAGGAGAACCTGGATGCTGAGCCCACAGTTTTCTTGGATCCAAACACATTTTCTGATGATGGGACCGTTGCCCTGCGAGGTTAATAAAGATTGTTGTGAACACAAACTAGCACTGTAGATTATTACTGTTTTTTTTCCTTTAATGCTTTTTGGAAATATTTCATGTTTCCTATCTGGAAGTTGCACTCTTTGAATAGTAATTGTATTACATTACATATTCACACTCTTCATTTCATTGTAATTCCTGCATTTCATCATAACTCATTTGCCTAATACATTGGAACACATAGCCAGAATAGTTTCATGATATGGTATCTGTGATGTCTTCATGTCCAGAAATAACCGGCTGTTTATAGCACTGACAGCTAAATAAAGAATGCTAACTTTTCCTGCTGCCAGTGCTTATGTTTTGTTTCTGCTCCTTTGATTGCTTCAAGGCTACGCGTTCTCTGAGGACGGGGAGTATCTGGCCTATGGCACCAGTGCCAGTGGTTCAGACTGGGTGGAGATCCACTTCCTGCAGGTTGAAAATGCCGTGCCTCTGGAGGACCGCCTGGAGCGAGTCAAGTTTAGCTGCATGTCCTGGACTCATGATGGGAAGGGACTTTTCTACAACTCCTACCCCGATCAGGAGGGCAAGAGTGACGGTGAGGTCAAGATGGTATTAAATCATGAACTTTGCTTTAGCTAAAGATAAAAATAGATCCTCTGACAAAGTGATTAGTGTTTTTTCCCTTTTATTTGTCATCTACTTCTATCTACTTTTTTTTAGTCTGATAGATTTGCTTAGAACTTTGATATGTCAGTGTTGTTTCTGTGATCCACACATGCCCACCTCACACCTCCTCACCTCTTGCATCAGATGAATTCTCCGCCACTAGAGGGCGATGATGAAAGTAAACTGTTTTGTCTACCAGGCACTGAGACCTCCACAAATCTGCACCAGAAGCTGTACTTCCATGTTTTGGGGACTCCGCAGTCTGAGGATGTACTGTGCGCCGAGTTCCCTGATCACCCCAAATGGATGAGTGGAGCTGAGGTATGCTGGAAAGTTTTAATTTCTGGCCCCTAAAAATGAAAAGAAATGACGGAAGAGGGCATTGTGTTAATGGATCTTCAGGTGGGTTTTAGTGGTTGCATGTATATTGCAGGTATCAGACGATGGACGCTATGTGCTGCTGTCTATCAGGGAAGGTTGTGATCCGGTCAACAGACTGTGGTATTGTGACCTTCAGACCACTCCTCAGGGTATTACAGGTAAGTGACACTTTTTTATTTGTTGTATATTGTTGATCTGTGTCCCTGCTCTAATGCTTGTTTTGTTTAATTTACCATTACCTGTTAAGTCTTTTGTAACCTTGTTTAGGAAAGGAACGGTTCTTCTTGCAGTTCTATTAAAACTATTGTATAATGGTTATTTTTATACTGGAATCGGAACTGAAACTGTGTGATCGTAAATATAGTTTCAATTTACTCCCACAAAAAGACGAGAGTGAATTCCCCTTTTGTGTCATTCCGAAAAGCACTTCCTCGTTAGTTTTTTATAGTCTCAGTTTGCCTGTAATTGAGCGTGTTCAGTGCTTTTATTTTAAGACTAAAATATTCCTCTTATTTTTAGGACTTCTGCCATGGGTGAAGCTTATCGACAACTTTGACGCCGAGTACGAGTACGTGACTAACGAGGGCACGGTGTTCACATTCAAGACCAACCTAGACGCCCCGCGTTACCGCCTAATCAACATTGATTTTGCCTCTCCAGCTCAGAGCAACTGGAAAGAGCTCATCCCCCAACATGACAAGGACGTTATTGGTGAGCTGCTGCAACACTTACGTGACCTGTACCTAAAATATTAGGATTGGGTTTTAAAATGTCTTTTGCTGTCACCTTAAGCACAAATTTCAACTTCACATGTGCTGTCTTTCCTTTGCCCCATCTCCCCTGCAGTGTTCGCCACCTGTACATACTCAAGCTACCTGTTTGTATGTTTCCTGCACGACGTGAAGAATGTGTTGAAAATGTACCGTCTGAGCTCAGGGGAGGAGCTGAGGACCTTCCCGCTTGACGTTGGCTCCGTGGTGGGTTTCACAGGGCGGAAGCGGGACTCTGAGATCTTCTACTATTTCACCTCCTTCCTCTCCCCAGGTACGAGATGGCTAAATGCATAGTATTATTTCTGAATATACTTCATGACATTTGTTGCTGTAGAAAATAATTTTAGTTTTTCCGACTGCAGTGCTGCAGAGATTACAACAGCACAGGGTAACGTAGGGAAAAATACTGCAAACAAAGCTGTGTAACCGTAAAGCCTGTGGGATTAAGTATGCTTTGAAACTGCGGTTATTGTATCTTGCTGAGTAAATTTGGTTAAATTAGTTGTATGTTTAAAACTAAACAGAGCTCTGTATAAGGATGAAAGAAACACGTATTGTCCATGAAATTAAAGACGAGAACAAACAAGATGACTGTTTTTCTTCTCCTGCATCCAGCCATCATTTACCACTGTGACCTGACGAAGGAGCCGCTGCAGCCCCACATCTTCAGAGAGGTCACCGTCAAAGGCTTTAACCCCTCTGACTACCAGACCACCCAGGTAACTAGAATGATTTCTCCACAATGCTCCACTTTTCCATGATTTCTGTCTCCTTTTCTCCATCTTTTCATTTCCTGATAACTGAAGGACTCTCTGTGAAGCTGTTTGAAAGTCATCTCCCAGGAACACTTTAAGGACAAATGTTTATATCTATTTGTGCATGACTGCCCAACCTTGACCCAGTTCTTAAAGTTATGACACACTGTACAACAGGTATTAATCAAGTTGTCAAGAGAAAAAGCTGCCGACGTGTGTGCTGGACTAGAACAAATCCTTCTCAGTGTGTTGAAGTGTGACTGGAGGCATTTTCAGAATTAGTCATATTTCTCAACTTGTTGTTTTTCAAAGAGATTTTTAACATGACATTTTATTTTTAAAGTAAAGACAGTGGCGCTTCTGTGAGACTTTAGAGTCAGATTTATTGTTATATCCCTTCTGAGGCCTGCCATCCCCGAAATAACATTGTAAAAGTGAAAATAAGCATGACAGTGAGGACAGAGTTTTGTGTTGTCCTCTCCTCTCATTTGACTCAGACACTACGACAGATGAAGATTCAATAATAGCTAAAGATCACATGTGTTAGTACCATATTCACTGCTCCCATCTGTGTCCAGGATTACACATCCCCTGTCAGCTCCTTTCCTGGCTCTGTTTCCAGTCCTGTTCGTGTTCCTGATGGTGTGTCTTTTTCCCTTGTTGTTGCCAGGTCTTCTATCCCTCCAAGGATGGCACTCAAATCCCCATGTTCATCGTTCACAAGAAGGGCATCAAACTGGACGGCTCCTATCCAGGTTTCCTCTATGGCTATGGTGGTTTTAACATCTCCATCACGCCAAGCTACAGTGTCTCCCGGCTCATCTTTGTTAGACATCTGGGGGGAGTCCTGGCTGTAGCCAACATTCGAGGGGGAGGAGAGTACGGGGAGACCTGGCACAAAGGTGAGGGGGAGGGGCGTGCAACACACACTGTTTATAAATGCAGTTTTGCACACACTGTTTATAAATGCTTTTTTTCTTTTCTTTTAGCTGGCATGTTAGCCAACAAGCAGAACTGCTTCACAGACTTTCAGTGTGCAGCCGAATATCTCGTCAAGGAGGGATACACTTCTCCTTCCAAACTGACTATAAATGGAGGTTCCAACGGCGGCCTGCTTGTAGGTATGTATGCTGCTGTTTAAAGAACAACATAAGACTATACAAAGCAAGAAGTATTTGCAAATAAAGCCTCAAACAGGTTTGTCTGCACAGATGAGTCTCTGGTGTGCCTGACTGTATGTTTTCCTCTCTCAGCGGCCTGTGTGAACCAGCGGCCTGAGCTGTTTGGCTGCGCTGTAGCTCAGGTAGGCGTCATGGACATGCTGAAATTCCACAAGTTCACCATCGGCCACGCCTGGACCACTGACTTTGGCTGTTCAGAAGACAAAGAGCAGTTTGAGTGGCTCATCAAGTAAGTGCTCAGCAACCAACATATATATATTTGTAATGTAAAATATACAGTATGTTGGATTCACATCAGTTACCTCACTGAAGCAAGCATTTCCTGTTGAATTGTCTGTTTCTCGGTATTTTTACGTTTTTGTATTTGTACTTTTTAAACTTAGTAGACAAGTGACTACAGAGGAGTAGCCACCTCCCAAAACAGGGATAAACAAAATAAGCATGCACTTCAGGATACATAACAATGTGATAAGCAAAACAATCAGCACTAGCCTCTAAAAATAGATATATCTCACAGTACATGTCCACAGAGTATGCACAGACATGCAGCATAAGACAGAAATGGTTGCTACATTTTATCAAAAGTTGCAGGGCTGAGAGAAGCTGTCCTCTCCAAATGTAACAGTTTAGTGATTTCTACTAGCCAGGTCTTAAAAGAAGGTACATCCTCATTAATCCAAAGGGTTAAGATATTGGGATTTTGGACAGTTGGTTGGATAAAACAAGGTATTTGAAGTTACCTGGGTCTCTGTGAAAATAATTTATTCCGTCTTCTCAGATTTTACAGACAAATTGATTAATCGGTTACTGAGAATATAATCTGAAAGTGAATAAAAAATTTTGATCAAACATTTGTTATATTCAGACCAGCATTCTACCATAGCTACATACACTATTTGTGTTCTTACACTTGTGCTAATATCTGAGCTGTGTGCCTTCTCACTGCTCCTCTTTGCCAGATACTCCCCGCTTCATAACATCGGCATCCCAGAAGGCAACGGAGTCCAGTACCCTGCAGTGCTCCTGCTGACAGGGGACCACGACGACCGGGTGGTGCCCCTCCACTCCCTCAAGTACATCGCCACCCTGCAGCACATCGTTGGCCGCAGCCCCAAGCAGACAAACCCTCTGTTCATCCTCGTAGACACAAAGTCAGGCCACGGAGCCGGCAAGCCCACCAGCAAGGTCATCCAGGAGGTGGCTGACACCTACGCCTTTATCGCCCGCTGTCTCAACATCACCTGGGTCAAATAACCTGCGCCTCCTGTTAGAGAGAGAGTGTGTGTGTGTGTGTGTGTGTGTGTGTGTGTGTGTGTGTGTGTGTGTGTGTGTGTGTGTGTGTGTGTGTGTGTGTGTGTGTGTGTGTGTGTGTGTGTGTTGTTTTTCCTTTACTCAAATCATCTTTGGAATACTGTTCATACTAGCTGTTCACACGTTCCTCATATCTCTACACAAACACTGAGTACAACATCTTTTAACTCATGTTTACCCATCTTTTATTTCTTTTTGTCTTGTTTTCTGTTCATCTATTGTTATCCCTCCTTCCCTTCCCGTTTCAGTGCGAGCCTCATCGGGATCTCACGCAATTATAAGCCAACATGCAGCACTTGCAGCTAACGTACCCTTTTCTGTAGGCTATGCTTGTAATCCTAATGACATAAAGGAACGGCTACATTGTCAGTGACAAGTGTGTAAAGGGAGGGGTGGCTACCTACACGGTTACAGTATTCAGCCAATCAGCAGTTACAGTCATGAGGTGAAAGTGGCAACAGTTTATTTGAAGATTGTTTCTGCGTCCTCTGGGTCTTTCAACACGCCGCATATTATTTATTTTTCGTTTGTGCACAGAATGGAGGCTGCGGGACGTCAAATGATCTCAGCATGGTCAATTGTGACGAGATAGTAAAGTGCAAATGATGCTACTGCAGGTCGACAGTATTGCTGTGTATATGAGTGGGGAAACTTGCAAAACAAAACAGTTCAGCCCGCGCGCACGTGCGCGCGTATGTGTGTGTTTTGGATGTCAGTCCCCACATTCATTTCAGACTGAAAATGATTTCTACCTCTTGACATGTGCTGATTGTTTACCTTTTAAAGGGGACAAAACACAATGCCACAACTACAATAAACAACTTTTTAAACAGTGATAAAAAGTGAGCATCTATTCTGTTGTAAAGTTTAATTCTAAAATCAGAGATCAGTCATTGTGGAGAAAGATAACAGCTGTGTCGTTTTTTGATGTCACAAATGAATTGAACTGCATAGAAATGAACTAACAAAGTGGTACATTTGACTGAAAATACAGCAGACACGGAAGAACTGGATTCTTTCAATCAGTTTTATTTATGTTTTTAAACTTTATTTTATTCATCCAAAGTATGTTAATGTGAGACAAGTCCCTTTTACCGTCAAGAATAGGGAGCAAGAGGAAGAGCGCCTCAGACTGCTGATGTTGCAGTGATTCCTCCACCAGGGGGCAGTCACTCTTAAAATGACCAACACGTGCAACAGGAGCAGAAAATGAGGGTGGTCTGACAGAGGGCCCCATGTGGATTACTCAACATACATGTTTCATGTTCAAAAACGTCTCTGATATCCCACTTTCATGTTTATGGATGAATTTTTAAAGCAAGGTTACTCTTGAAAGACTTACAATTACATATCCTCAGCCTGACTTTCTCTTCCAAATCCATTTGAGAGTTGACTAAAAAAAATAGATGCAAAAGACAAACTGTTTCCATGAACATTATATTTATTTATTTTCCATTTTAAAAAGCATAACTTATTTGATTAGCATAAATTGAACATTAAAATAACGTAAAAGGCTGTAACTGTACATAATTTACACATTTACAAAACAAGTAATTAAAAAACAATGTTTTAACAACATTTTAATATATTCAGTCACGTTTTCACTAATTTCTTTCCTTTTAATTTGATCAAAGTAAAAGATCACTTAAGGCCACTGAGAAAAGGCTGTTAGGTCTAGATGTGGAAACTACAACAAAAAACAAAAGGTGAGACAAACAAAAGACAATTTACCACGATAAAGCCATCTGCCCTAGTTTAATAAAGTTTTTTCTTTGAATTGGTGATGTGTTATGTTTCATTGCAACATTTTTAGATTAACACATTTCATTTGAATATACATTATAAACTAGTGATTACATGAAGTAATGTAGAATTTTCATACATTCTGTCCAGTAAAGTTTTAGTAAAATAAACTGACACTTCACTTCAAATTTATATTTGGTTAGAAATAAAACAAACATGTTAACATAATCACTTATACAATTGCATGAGGAAATTAATTCATATCACATCTTGTTTTACATTACTAGAGAAATTTGAATTATGGCACAGAAACTATGCTTTTTACATTTAACTATGTTTCCAAACATCTGGATGAAACTAAAAGACTGAAATCTGAAATGTTATTTCAATGAAAGTTTTGACATTGAGATTTTAAGATTTTTATGAAAGCATTCAGATTCCACAAAAGTACAAGTCAGTCTTCTTTTAGAATGTTTTGGTTATAACAAACTTTGCAACTAAACAAAGTGCAAGAGATTAACCTGTTTTATACAAATGTAAAAGGTCTTTTATGTTTCCTCAACTTTTTTTAAAGTTTGAATGTTGAAAGTTTATAAATAAAAGAAATTCCTGGAAATGGAAGCCAGAAACAATCTGATTCTTCTAAATTACAAACTACAGCTTATTCAATTTTTTTGCAAAGTAAACATTTCCTTCACACACAACACTGTAGGCATATCACCTACATTAAATACGTACTTACTTTAATACTAAATTATATTCCTGAACATTTCAGCTCCAGATGGTTATTAAACCACTTGCTCCGCCACTTTAGTTATTGGGACTCAATGAAAAACATCCAGATGAAATTAATGGAATAATAGGTAAGTGGACTAAATCATATGTAGGAGTGCAAACATGTAGCCTACAAAGCAAATTTTAAAAATGTACAATACATACTACTTTTTAAATCACAGATCATCAGTATGGAATTCAACTCTTTGCAGGTTTTGAAAAACACAGGGTATGCACGTGGGATTTGACTTAGCCTAGGTTTACTAAAAGTAAGGTCCCAGCCAACAAGCTGAAACCATGAAGACCAGAAATGCAAAAATGAACAGTTAATAGGGTTTTCTCACAAAAGGTGACATACCTAATAAATAGGCTAAATACATTGTACGTTGGTCATTTCCTTGACACGTACGAATAAACAGGATCATCAGCGAAATCTACCTTTAATTATCCCGCGACCAAACATAAACAATGTTGTCGGATATGTAAGGTATTGCGTGCACGCGCTAGAATATAGAACCACCAGAGGGCGCTTCACAGTCCTGTATGTGTTGAACCTGTAGCCTAGGCCTACATAGAGACTTATTTCAAATTCACTGGAACAGAACTGATTGAATACAAAGCAGGTGCTTTAGATTCGTATGTTATGGTGCTGTCTATATGAGAATCAGAATCAGCTTTATTGCCAGGTATGTGCACACATACGAGGAATTTGACTCAGGATTGTACATTGCTCATGATGTGCTTACTCATACAAAAATACCATAACACAATAATAAAATAATAATAAAATAAAATCAGACACAAACTACAGTATAGACAACACTAATATACACACTATGAACAAAACAATATAGACATATTGACAAATAGTGCAGTGATCAGAGTGCAAAGGATGCAAGAGTAAACTATTATACCTACATGTTGAAGGTGGATATGATATACAGGTAGCCTACACATCATATCCACCTTCAACATGTACATAATGAGAATAATAGTGTATATATAGAATATGATATAGGTTAACATTAAAGAGTATAAAATATCAGTTTTAACAGATGAGAAAAAAGCCTAGGTAGGCTACACATTTGGTATGGACCCAGTAGTAGGCCTACAACCATAGGAGTATTAAATAATCCACTTGTGTCCTAAACTGTCGCGTGAAACTGTTGGAACGGCTTCTATTTCTGATTGGCTGACACATTTGAAGACGTTCTAAAATACCCAATGAGCACACAGCTATGACCGTGCTGAAATATTAATGCGCCAACCGGAAATCGCAGCTCAGCCACTGCCGAGGAACTATTTTACTCGGCGGAGGAGCCGTGATTAAATAATTCCATACTACCTGTCAATGTTTTTGCTAAAATTTGACTTAGTTAGCATATTTTGTTTTCTTCACCTGAAATATGCTCTCTAAGAGGATCTGGGGAGCAAATATTTAACCGCACTTAACTTTTATTGTTTGAAATTATTTTGTTGGCCAATATTTTGGAAAACCTCTTGCACTGTATGCAACCGGATGTTTACTGCTGCTTATTGAAAGATTCAAACATTTAATCTCAGTGGTACAACTGATTGAGAAAGATAGTGCTGGGGGTAAGAGTTTCGGATGTAGTGATCGGCTACTCAAAAAGCATAACGTTCCCCACCATGTTTTACAGTTTGGCCTTTGAATGATTTGTCTATGGTTTTTACATGACATCTGACTTTTTCTTATTCCTAAGGCTAACAGAAAACAAAGCATAGGCCTATCTATCTATCTATCTATCTATCTAACAATCAAGGTCTCGTGAGAACCTTTTCCTCTCAGTGGAATACAGAATCTTGCAGGTGATTGTCTGTAGCGAACCGATGGGTGGCGCTACATTATGTAGTATTAACTGTCAACAGTTTTTCAGTCTTATCGGCTCCCAATCACTGGTCTGGGAACAGTTTACTTGTACTGCTCAGTGAGGACACAAGGCTGAGTGAGTGAAGAGCAGATGTCAGATCAGTAGGGAGGGTTTGGAGGTTGTTTAAGGAGAAAATAATTTATAATATTAGACTATATAAAGGTAGGCTATATGACCTTATGTGTGATTGTTTTTTAATGTGTTCTTAAAAATTGCTTTTTGGCCTGCTTTCGAGGAAAACTTATGTTCCTAACATGGTTTTGAATATCTGCATAGCCTACTATGTAAACAAGCTGGGTGGGGGATGTGATGGATCTTTATCAACAGGAGAGAACGAAGGTGGGGGAAGGCAGTGTGATGGGGGAGGCCGTGATAAAAGCTCTTACACAGGCGGAAGGATTGGGTTTACATTTAACATTTACATATCTTTATGGCTATTGGAAAACTTGCTTCTTATGCAACTAAAACTTTCCCTCTAATTCAGCTTTAGCAAGGCTTTCTCGTAAATGCATAACGCTGAGGACCAGAGGACCAGACGCCGAACTCAGAAGCAGGCTTTTGTGAAAAACTAGGCAAGTGACAATGAAAAATGTCCTATATATACGGATCATTTTGGAGATGGTTTTACAGATGTGTCCCTCTGGCTCCCAGCAATCTGTTCGCTCGCTGTAGCACATTTAAACCTCACGCTGTAGCAGCTTGTGTTACAGTGCCACTATAAAATATTCATCCATGGAAAATCTCTTTGATTCCAGCCGGTCACCTGGCTTCATGCGCCGGGTTAAAGTTAGCCCAAACATGTAATTCAAACTACAGCGTCGGCGGGCTTGAAGTCCAGCAGGCTGAACTCCACTTTCCTCCACATTTGCTCTATCAAAGGGACACCGGGAGAAGCGTGTGGTCTGCCTGTGCCATCTCCTTTCATCCCCTGAGAAAAAAAGGGAAGGGATGTCCGCTCCCTCTCCTACAGGTGAGTCGCTTCTTTTTTGCACTCACAATAGAAAAAGGCTCTTGTTCAGACTTTAGTTTCTTTTTGTTGAGCTGAAATGTACTAAAAAAACCAACACAACAACAACAAAAAAACCCCACTGAATGTGGTAATTAGTTGTAACTAAGCTAGCTGTAGACCCTGCTTTTCATTCACCTGAAATGACCGGCTTAGCAACATGGCAAAGTGATGGATCGGCTCTTTCATCAAACCTACTCAGCAAAATTATGATGTTAAGGATGCGCGCACATGCCCAAAATTGAAGAACATCATGTAGGGGTAGGAAATAGGACGTTATGAAACTAAACTAAAGAAATAATAGCCTAATAGTAATAGGATATAGCCTATTGAAAACAAACAATAAAACAGACGGTATCGATCATTGCAAGGTAAACTCATTAGACTATAAGAATATTAGGATATTAGCGTGATGTCTCCTTAGGAA